TATGTATCCAGTATCTACACATGGAGAGAAAAGTTAAGCAGGAATAAAGGAAAGATTGAACATAAGTTTGAGAGTGAGCACTTGGAGGTTTTCTTTGGGGATTGATTTACAGGGTTTTATGTATCATATGTCAAGTATCTGTGATTTTTGTCACTATGACTTAATAGATAAGTTTTAGAGAGTTGTTTAAAGTTTCAGAAAGGTTAAATGCTGTGCCTAGAAATACAAGTCAGTGGTGAGATTTGAATCTAGGTCTTTCTGATGCCAAGTTCAGAACTTATGCTATGTTGCCTCAGCTCTCACTGGAAATGACAGGTAGAATTTGAGGCATATTAAGAACATGAATTGGAGGCTTTGGAATTCAATAAGATGTCTTGGGAAACATCTATCAACATTCCTTTCACCTTTCTCTTGGGGTCAGATTCCCTGATCGCCCCAGCTATAAATAATATGTCCATTTCCTCTAATGAATTCGATGTTTTATTTTCTGAAGAAAAAAAATCTTTGTCAATCCTGACTTGTGGTATCTTTTGCATTGATTTTTTAAAACTATTTTCATTTATTAGTATGTTGTATCACGGTTATATTGTGAACAACAACTTTTTCTGCAGACCCTCATCTCCAAGTAGCTACAAGATAATTATTTGAATGTTTCATCAGAACCTCAGTTGCAATATGTCCCAAAATGAGCTTATTATTTTCCTCCAAAAACCACTTGTCCTTGTATATTTACTGTTTCTTTCCATGTACCACCATTTACCTATTCTCCCATACTAACAAAACCTTGAAGATTGTACCTTCTCCCTCACTTCTAATGCCCAGTTTGTTATTAAGACCTGTCTTTTTGTTATCTATGACATCTCATATTCACTTCCTCCTTTCTTGTTCCATTGCCACCTAATAATGGCTTCATCACCATCCTTGGGGACAATTACAATAGACTCTTGGTAAATATTCTTACTACAATCTATTCCTCCCATCCATTCTTTACTGCATTGCCAAATTAATCTTCCTTACACTTAAATCTGATTATATCATTCATCTGCTCAAAACCTTCAGTGGCTTCCCATGGAGTAAAGCTTAAACCTTTTATTTACTCTAACATTCATGGCTCTCTACAATCTGAAGATACCCCTCCTCATCAACCAACCTTATAGTATATTGATTATTTCTTTTATTTCAATAATATTCAATATATTGATTATAAAATTCATTTTATATAATGATCACCTAATCAAATTATTATATAAAATGATCCTATAATCAAATAAATTGATTATAAAATTTTTTTTAAAATTGATTATTTTTACATTTTTTTTTGCTCCAGCCAAAGTAAGGTACTCTCTGCTATCCTCCATATATGCCTAGCATTTTCCCAAGAGCCTCTTTGCACATTAGTCTTTTAATCAATCAACTAACATTTATTGTGCAACTGCCATGTGCCAGGCACTCTGCTCAGCACTGTGGTTAAAAAAAAAAGGCAAAGTACAAAACAAAATCTATGTGTTAAAGTACTATTCTTTTAAAGGGCAACCTTCATGTTATCTCAATGAAGCCCTTTTTGTTCCCTCAGGAGGTAAGGACCTCCCTTTATAATGTACTTATTATGTATTATTTCATATTGTGTTTTTTAATAAATGTTAATCCTATTATGAGTCAATAAGCTTCACAAACAAAAGCATTACATCTTATCCAAATTTCCTTTTCCTAGATAGGTCTATGAAAAAAATAGTTACTTCATAAATGCTCGATGAATTACATACTTCTTTAAGTCTCTTCAGCCCCTATATAGTTCAACTTATACATGGATCATAAGAGAAGGCTAGGTAATTCTGACATGATATGAAAGCCTGATCATGTAAGTGTGTTGTTGTTCGTTTTGCTCTTAAGATCGCCAGGGTGGGCTAAATCTAAGCCACCTCAGCTGTGAGATTCTGGCTCTGATCAGATCCTTAAGGCCAGGAAGTGACTCAGCTTAGCTCCAAGAGATTTTAACCTCTTGAGATGCAGAATGTCCTGCCTTCCAGGGGCTGTCTAAAGTAAAGTTAGAGAAGTACCCCATAAATCTATAGTGGGTCACATTATCATAGTCAGGGTCTGGAATTTTCTAAAGAATGCTACATTTCTTAAAGTACAAGGGTGTGGATCAGAAATGGCTAAAGTCAAGGAATCATAGATTCTTGGAGTGCAAACAGACTTCACAGGCCACCTAATCTAACTTTCACCTGAATAAGAATCTCCTCTATAAGATAACTGAAAAATGGTCATACAGCTTTTGATTACAGACTTCTATTTAGGAGAAATCCACTACCCACTGAGGCCACTCATTCCACTTCAGGGGATATTGTTAGGAATTTTTTTCTTACCTCAAACTTAAATTTTCCTTTTGTCAATTCCTATTCAGTACTCCAAGATCTAAGAACTAGGACTATGGCTATGGAACTAGGAACTAGGAACTAGTGGAACTAGGGCTATCTATACAAGTCTTTTTGTTTGTTTATTTATCCCTTTTCTGAGTGGTATCCCCTCAAATATCTGACAACTGTTACCATGTCCCTCCTAAGTCTTCTCTTCTCTAGACTAAATTAAAAGGTGCTACAAGAGGGCAGGGCTCAGGGCATAACTATAGTAATTACATGGTAAATCCAAAGAGAAGTATTTCATAGATTTATCTCTTGGAGGGGCAAGGTAATGGAAGAATATTTTGTGTCCTGGGAAGAATTACAAGGTAATACATTAGTTGATCTGACACATTTCTCCAGAATCAATATTATTCGCAGAGCAGAATACTCTTTTTAAGTTAAAATGAGGGCCTTTTGCATGGCAAAGAGAGTGACGTGGAGAAAATTTGATTTCAATTGCA